AAAAGAAAGAAAGAAAGAAAGAAAAGAAAAGAAGCATTGAGCCAGATTTGCAAAATATAACCCACCACCAAAGATATTTTTAATAAAATAATATCTTTACTATGGGTTTAAAATTATTTAAAATGCAATGGGAATGTATTATATTTATTAATAATTTATCATAATTTATTTTATAATGTATATAGTATTCTCCAGGAGATCTTCTTGCTATTTTCCTCAAGCCAAAATACTTTGAACATTTTGAACAATAGTCAGGAGTTGAGGCATCAAAGATTTTTAAATATGATCCTTTTTTATGAGTGTTGTTTGAAAAGATAGCCTGGAAAATAGTACTCTGGGAATGCAGGGGTCACTTGTAGGTGAGATAATACATCATAAATACTCAGCTAATACATTTTAACATCCTCTATAAATCATGTTTCATCTCCTTCAGTGGGGAGGTTGATTGCCCTAGGATAGGACAGGGCTTATGGTCAAAGTCTAGGCAATGGAAACATGCTTGGATGTTAGGGTGTGTGTGTGTGTGTGTGTGTGTGTGTGTGTGTGTGTGTGTGTGTGTGTGTGTGTGATTGAGGTGGCAGAGGCACTCCCTGTATACATTTTGTCTGCTAGAGGACAACAAGGGCTAAGACTGAAGGACTCCTGTTCTGTGAATTAACTCTAGCATAAAGCTGATGTGGGGTATGTCTTCATAAGTGAGGTTGTCAGAGGTAGAAAGGGATTCAGAAGACTGAGATGGCTCCAAGAAAAGATGGAGACATGACCTGATGGAGCAGATCCTGAGGGTCATCACTGCCAGCTAGGCTGGGGGCCACTGGAACCGCTGAAACAGGAGGTTGGTTTACTGGCAGCAGTGGCAGAGCCAGGTGGCTCCTCAGCAGACTCTGGGACAGACCTCTGGGCTAGAGGCCTGAGTGACACTGAGGGGGCTGCAGCCAGCACGATTTGGGGCACAGCCCTCACCAAGTCACAGACTTGCAGCTGTGAATTTCATCACATGAGGAGGAGGAGGAGGAGGAAGAGGAGGAGGGGTAGGAGGAGGTTGAGGAGGAGGAGGAGGAGGGAGGAGGGAAGAAGGAGGAGGGAGGAAGATAGCCACATAGGAATCCTTTCAAGCTTAATTAAATGAAAATTTGCCATTTAAAAAACGCTATTTCGATTCTTAAAGATGCTTGGTTGTTTATCTAATTCTCCTTCCTAGTTAACAAGCTGGAATAGGCTTGGACTAATGCTTAGATTAGTTAAAAACTAAAATAACAGAATATAGGAGCTAGATAAGTAGCTCAGTAGAATACAGAGTAGAATAGTAGTGGTCTTGGAATTAGTGCTATCTGCTATCTCTGCTTGGAGAGTACTTCTTTTATTTCTCATATATATATATGTATAGTGAAAATACTGTACAGAGGAGTTACAATTACATGGGCAGGATAATGAGTACGTTTCTTATCAAGCATTGTAGCCTCCTCCTTTGTTTCCCCTTCCCATCCTTCTTTTTGTAGACATAAAACTTCTATAAAAAATAAAATCTGAGGCCCAGTGCTGGTGACTCATGCCTGTAATCCTAGCTACTCAAGAAACTGAGATCTGAGAATTGTGCTTTAAAGTCAGATCAGGCAAGAGATACTTATCTTCAATTAACCACCAGAAATTCAGTGTGGCTCAGAGTGATAGAGTGCTAGCCTTGAGCAAAACAGCTCATGGTACCAGGCCCTGAGTTAAAAAAAAAAAAACTCTGTTAAAAAATATTCCCCTAGAACCGTCTTATGCTCTTCTAAACTATAAATGGTCATAAATGAACACAGTATAAAACATGGCCTTCTCTTGTGTTGAAATCTTATTTTTCTGTTTCTTTTATACTTTGTGCTTTACAGTGTGTGTGTGTGTGTGTGTGTGTGTGTGTGTGTTGTTCCTGAAGCTTGAACTCAGGGCTTGGGCACTGTCCCTGAGCTTTGATTTTTCTTCCTTAAGTCCAGTGCTCTTCCACTTGGGCCACAGCTCCACTTCCAGCTCTTTGGCGATTGACTAGGGATGAGTCTCATGGACTTTCCTGTCCTGGCTGGCTTTGAGCCACCCTCAGATCTATCTCAGACTTTCTGAATTCAGGGGTGAGCCACCAGCACCTGCTCTCTTTAAAATTTGTTCTGAGATGTTTTCTACTCTTATTATCTTTCCTCAGGATGTAAATCAAGAATTAGTGAATTTCCACAACAGTCAGGGGTAAGTGAGGGTAAATGGTAAATTAATCTAGGAGAAGTTGAGATACATTGTCTGGTTAGTTTGGCGACAACAGAGTGTGACTCCAACTCTGCTCAATTTTGGTAAAATTTCTGAAGATAACTTAAAATCGTAAGGTACATAGCCAGATGCAGGTGGCTAGCAGACGTGGAGGATCACAGTTCAAGTCCAGCCCAGAAAAAAAGAGTTTGTGAAACTCCATCTCCAAAATAACTAGAAGAAGGTTGAACCACAGGCATGGCTTAAGGGGTAGAGCATCAGCTATGGGCAAGAAAGCAGAGAGTACAAGACCCTTAGTTCAAGAGTAGTTAGCAACACAGAAAATTAAAAACTAAAAATCAGTTTTGTATGTGTGCATATGTGTGTTTTCAAATAGCCATCTGAAAAGATAAAATGGAAATGGAAGTCACAGCATAATACATCTGTTTATTCAGTTACTATTACAATGGTAACAGGTTAAGAGCAATAGATTTATATCCCATTTACAGGATAATAGTGAGAATTTCAGCTTATAAATTTCACTGTTTTTTAACCATTAAAAATCTTATGAACAGTAGAGTAATGATATATGTTATTATTAAGGGACAGAACCAAACTTTCTGATTTATGATCAAAAGTGTATTCGTTCATTAGTTTAAACAAAACATTACAGACAATTTTAAACCATTGGTTAAAAAGCACAATGCTCTTGAAGCAAATATCCACAAAACATCTTCTTAAAGAGTGAGTCCAACCATTGTGTATCATGTCAACGAGAGAAGCTGAGAATCCCAGATTTATTATCTTGGTATCACTGAAAGACACTGGCTTTCATGAACCATCAGCCAACGAACACACATGTTTTGTACATCTCCTATGTACAAGCCAGCATACTAAAGCAATACAGGAACTATAGAGAAGTAAAATTATTGGTGCATGCCCTGCCTCAGACTTTCAATGTTGTTAGTAAGATGAAATGTAGACACAGATTATTTCACTTTCTATATCCTCAGAAGTGGCTTCACCCTTTCATGTAAGAATTATGGGTGTGCAGCCTAGTAGAAGCAGGGACATCCCCCATGGTAATTAAAATCTCTCAATATCTCCCAGCTGCAGATAGACATAGTGCTCCAGTCTGCCTCACACCTGCCTCTGTTTGTGGTTGTACTTGGAATTGTTTCATGGACTTATTAAACGGAGCAGGATAAATATATATATATATATATGTATCTATACATATATATAATATTGCTTACACTCATTCAAATCATATATTGTGATTTATTCCCCCTATAAATCTATGTTTCCTGGGATCCCAGGATTTCAGAACTTTTCACTCTGCATGTTAATCCACATTGTCATCTTTTAAAATTATTCTAAGACAAGCCGTTACGATATGAAAAGTATGAAAAATCTCCAAATATCACTGGACACAGGCAAAAATAGAAAGGCTAGAGGAAAAGATCAGAGGGCTCAGGAGGGGCCTTGGAGGGAGCAGGGAGCATTTCTCCAATCCTACTCTACTAGTCCTGCTTAGCAAGTAGAAAAAAAAGGAAGCAGAAACACGACTTCCAACAACACAAGTAAATAAATAAATAAATACGCCAAACAAGAAAATAACTGATTAGGCACCGCTTGAAAGGCAGCAACCCTTAAAAGCCAGACAGGCCACACTCTGGAGTCGAGAAAAGCTGCCCCGGGAGCAAGGACCAGCTTTAGCACAGACTCTAAAGTTATATCTATCACCTTAGGTTTCCCTGTGCCAGAAATCGAGTCTGTTGAATATCTTAGGGTCGGCTCCGGAGAAAGCCAAGTGGAGCTGCAGCCCGGCGCGCTTGCAGAGTTGCCTGGCAAAGTTCCCTCTGCCCAGCCTAAAGGAGATGCGCCCGGCGCTGGGTCTTAGACACCAAGTTCCCAGGTTTTGAACGTGGCAGGAGGGGTGGGAGTGGGGGGGGGGTTCTAGGCCATCCTTACCCCGTCCCCACCCCCGGCAGGAATCTTCTGAAACATTCCTCCTTTGGCTTGTTCTCAGCTCTTTTTAATTTGCTCCCAAGCAGGATGTGGATGGGGCCGCTTGAGCCTGGGGACCGAAGCGCAGGACCTCTTTTACTAAGCACCTAGCTCTGCTCTGGGCGCAGAGCGGGAGAATGGGGCGGTGCGAGGAAGGAGGGGCCTTCACTCGGGAGTAGGAAACAGCACTCATCGCTTAGTTCTTTTCTCAAGTCCCACATCCCTTCACGTAGATGCTAGAGAAAGGAGAGTCGTGGCTCCCGGCTGGGCTAGGGCCACCAGGCCGGCAGACAGCTGACTCGCGAGGCCGGAAAAGGCTGAGGGCAGGCGGGGAGCTCCCCACAAGGGGAACCCGTGGCGTCCACCTTGGCTCAGTTTAACCAAACAGAACTGAGGGGCGGAAGTGGGAGGAGGGGGAGGCGGGAAAGATCAGATCGAATTGGAGCTGTGAACAGAGTTGGTCATCTGCCCAGGCAGAAAGTGAGGCAGGAAGGATGGAAGTTGTTAGGCATGGAATGGGGGGAGAGGGGCGGCGGGGGGGGCAGTGGGAGGGGTCTAGAGAAGCAAGCGCAGTGTAGGAAGAAGCTGGAAAGTACGAGGCGGGAGAAGATGGCCCCAAAAAGTGTTCCCAGTTTGTAAGCAAAGCTCACAACTCTACCTTGGTGGTGCCCACTTTCTTGGGTCTCTCTATGAGTGGGACACGGTGTCCAAGCCCCATATCACTCCCAGGGCACTTTGGGACCCGGGATTAGCAGCCACTGGTACCCGGCCTCCCCTTCTCCCTACGTGTCCCCATCTCAAAGGGTGGTGATCCGGGAAGTGCAGGTGCCATTGCGAAAGACGCCGCCAGACTCCAGGTTCTCGGGCTGGAAGTCCTCCACGCTGTAGGCGCGACTCTTGAGGGCCGTGGCGTAGTAGTCGACCGGCTCCTCGGCGGCGTTGTCCATCCAGCTGAGGCACAGGATGCGCTGGAAAGAGCGCTTGAAGTTGTCCGACAGGAAGCCGTAGAGAATGGGGTTGGCACAGCTGTTGGCATAGCCCAGGATGACGGACAACTGGCTGACGGTGGCGTCGTCCTGCTCAGCGAACACATTGACCAGCTGCACCACGTAGAAAGGCATCCAGCAGATGACAAACACCATCACCACCATCATCACCATGAGCGTGATCTTGCGCTCCGAGCGCTTGCGCTGCTGCCAGCCGGCCTTGAGGGCTACCATGCGCATCTTGGCGATGATGAGCACGTAACACAGGCAGATGGCCCCGACGGGCAGCAGGAACCCCATGAGAAACGTGTACAACACGAAGCCCACCAACCAGCGCTGGGCAGGCTCGGGCATGAGCATGTTGCAGGCCACCGTGCCGTCGCTGTTGGCCGCCGTGCGCGAGAATACCACGATGGGCAGTATGACCAGCAGCGAGAGCACCCACACGCCCAGATTCACCACCTTGGCCACGGTGGGCCGCCGGTAGCGGGCTGCCTTGATGGGATGTACCACGGCCACATAGCGGTCCACACTGAGCACAGTCAGACAGTAGATGCTGGTGAACATGTTGACCGCGTCCACGCTGAGCACGAGGCGGCAGAGCAGCGCGCCGAAGGGCCAGTGGCGCAACAACGTGGAGGTGACCAGGAAGGGCACGCTGAGCATCAGCAGCTCGTCCGCGATGGCCAGGTTTAGGATGTAGATGTTGGTGGCCGTTTTCATCTTGGCGTAGCGCAGGATCACATAGATGACCATGGAGTTCCCACACAGTCCCACCAGACACACGACGGAGTAGATGAAAGAGATCAGGATGGCGCTGCCTTGGCCCTCGCTTAAGGTCCCATTCTGGGATGCGTTGCGTCCTGGTTCCTCCATGCCGTCCGCAGCGCCGCTCCCGGGGTCCCTGCTGCAGCCGCTTTCGCCGCAGCTGCCCGGGCTGGGACTAGGGGAAGAGGAAGGAGAGGAGGCGGTGCCATTGGGGAACATCCCAGCTCATGGGGGGTCGGCGCTGGGGACACCCTCCTTCCGTCTCGGCCGCTGGCGCCCTCCCTGGACACCCGGCCGATCGTCCGCAGCTCACAGTCGCCCGGTGCGTGGCAGTGAGGCGCAGCAGCTCCGGGGAGCGCGGCTCCGACCCACGCCGGCCGAGCGCAACGCCCGGCGGCTGCTAGCGCGCCGCCTCTTGCCGCTCTGGGGCGCCTGGGCACACCGGAGCGCGGAAGCGCAGAGTGGGAGCGGGCTCGAGCCCCAGCGCGCCACAGCCATTAACTGGAGCGGCTCAGAGCTGGTGAATGATTAATAGGCACCACCAACGCGTCAGCAGCTACGAAAGGAGGGGAGGAGGGTGAGAAAAAGAGGGAGGAGAGCACTTAGGTATTTTCTCCCCGCTTCCTCCAGTTTTGTTTTGTTGTCTCCCCCCCCCCCGCTTCCCAGTTAAGCAGGCTTAAACCCGAGCGGTTGCTTCGGATTTATCTCCGTTCTTTCTCAGAGGTTTCTGGGGGAGTTTCTCTGCTTTCTTGGAGGATACGAGCTAGCCAAGGGGGCAATTCTGTCCCGTGCCACCCCTCACCTACCCAAAGGCAGAAGCAACCCCGCCCTCCCCCCACCCCAGATGTCTGGAGTTCATCTCAGTTTCCTTCAATTGCTGCCCTCTCCTGGGGGGAACCCAGCTCCACTCCTGGGTCGCGCTGTCCCGGATCCTACCCACGCCCCGACCCCCAACACCCCCCTCCAGTCCCACAGTCCCAGCCCCTCTCGATTCAGACCTGAGGCGGGAGCTCCGGGGCGGGGGGGCCTCGTTGCCCAAGTGCGCTACCTCCCGGCGGACGCGGCGACACCCCTGGCCAAGGGCAGGTGCGGCTTGGTGGCGCGCTGACCGTTCTTCCCCAGGTCCAATTCTCTCTGGGCCAGGCGGCAGCACAAGTGCCCAAGCCAACCCTTAAAGTGCTGCAAACTGATTCTAAGTCGCCCAGCACCAAGCCACCCCAAGGGCGCTTTAGGGCATTCTGAATGATAACGAGGCCCGCAGCGCTTTCCGTGCGGGAGTGTTTCAAGAAGAGGGAACCACTGTGAATCTCTTAATAAACCGGGTAGTGCCCCGAGGGTCCTGCAGCTCCCACAGGAATATCGACTGCAGAAATGGGGGTTCGCGGCTGGGCGCCCAGGAGGAGCCTGAAAGCTCCCATCCGAACGTGCCAGGCGCCGTATTGGAAATCCATCGAGGTGCTCGCGGGGGGAAGATAACGCCGTGTGGCTCAGAACAGCTCGCTCGAGTCCCTGCTGTACTTTGTACCCTGGAGAGTTGGCACAGGGGTGGGGGGTGGAAAGCAACAAGACCTGGGCTGGCAGCACACACACCAACCAGCTTCTCTAAATCAACGAGGGCTTCTATGCAGGTGACAGATCTGTCACCAATCCCGAAATGAAACAGGACGACATTCCGGTTTTTCCCTTGATATTAAAAAATAAAAAAAGAAGGAAATATTAAGGCGCTTGAGGTATGACCTCTGCGCCCAAACCATGAAGGTACAGACAGCTCTAAGCCACTTGGGAACTGATTGAGTAGTTTCCATGTGAGAAAGAATGGGTATTTCAATGTGATTAAAAAATATTGTCATATATGAATAATAGAAGGAGGCCTCATTGTGATAATTACCATGATTTGAAAATGATCCATGGGTTCCCCCCCCCCCCGCCCGCCCTCCACCCCCTCCCCAGCATTGACTTTCTTTGGCCTTGCAGTGGTCTCAGTTAACAGAAAATCCAGCTTCTTTTCATAAATGCTGCTCTGGGCCTGCAAGACCCCTGCAAATGTTTGAAATGAGCCAGTTCCTGGCTGGCTGCAATGTAGCCTTCAGCCTTTCTCCACCGTTGTTTCCAGTTTTGCCTTAGTTCCCTCTCCCCAACCAAAAGGTTCCCAAGGTGCTTGTCCTCCCCTGAGACCATTTACAACAAGGAGAGGCAAACAGACACAGAAAGCAAACTCACCGAGGCTATTTGTATGAGATAGTCTGTAATGCCGAAATTAAAACCAGAGAACTGCAATTCCGAATTGCCTGCTGCCTTAGACAAGTAATCTTTTACATAGATGTGGTTTACTTCTCAAAGCTGGATGCTTTCGGAAGGGAGAAGATCACTTTGTACTTGATGATACCATTCAAGATTAAAATAAAGGGCGACAGATTCATAGGAACCTGGGCAATGGATACCGAATTGTTAATGACAAAAGTGTTAGGGTGAAATTTGATAAGGACGTCTGAAAGTGTTTAGCCTATTTTGTTAAAAGCTGAACAAATTGCTTTCTTCAAGTAGAAGGTGGAATTGGTGTTCAGCTATGTTTCTTTAGAAAAAAGAAAGAAGCACATATGGGGAGAAAAAAATGTTTGTGAACCTAAACAAAACAACAACAAAAAAAACACAAGTTGGTTTTGTTCAAAAAGAGCATGGAGCATGTGGCAGCCAAACATCCTAATCACTGACTGGAGACACCTGGCTGTATTTCTGGGGGTTGGCATTTCAGCAATTGCCATTTAGAAGCACTGGCTTCCATCATCGTGGTTCCAGGGGAAGTAAGCTTTGGGAGTTGGTAAAAAATCAGTTTTGTGGTTAGAATGTCATTAAGTTCCTTTTACAGCTCATCTTAAGCAATAATCACAACAGCAACCAAGTTATGGCTTCACAAATGGCTAAGCTATAGATTCATATACAAAGAAGAGAAGCTCTGACAGGAGCAAGCTTTCTTTACTTGTGAGGTTGTTTTTGTGGGGAGGGGGCTATTCATCCAGAAGAAGGGATTGACAATGAGATAGTACTTCATATCCACTTGGATGGCTATAATAAAAATTTTAAAGAAAATAAATGCTGGCAAGGCTATGGGAAAATGGGAACACCCACATATTGGGTGTATGAAAAATTTTAGAAATGATGAGAAACTTTAGAGAAAGGTTTGGTGATTCCTCTAAAGGCATAACATTGAACTACTCAATGACTAAAAAATTTCACTTCTGTTCTTTTCCCCCCTCAAAATTAAAAATAAATTTATAAATGGTGTTTTTAATCCCAAAAGTGAAAAGGACCAAATATCCATCAACTGATAAAATGAAAAGATGGACATCGCTACAAGCATACAACAGAATATTATTTATTCTTAAAAAAGAATGCGATGAAAAAAAAAGAATGCAATGTTGACGATGTGCTGCAATACAAATGAACCTTCAAAACCTCAGGCAAGGTGAAAGAAACCAGTCATTTATTCCATGATTCCCTTTCTATGATTTCTACAGCATAGGTAAACATCCAGAGATATGTAAGCAGATTAACAGTTGCCAGGGGCCAGGTGAATTAAAAAATGGGGAAAGATGACTAGATGGGTATGAGATTTCTTCCTGAGATGAAGAAAATATTTTGGAATTACACCATGGGAATAGTTGTACAATGTTGGGATTATATTAAAAACCATTGAATTGTACACTGTGAAATGACTACAATTGTAAATTTTAGGTGACTTTCACTTCAACTAAAAAGGAGTCATTGAGATGCAGATAAGTCATGAAGTATTACCAAATCTCTTTCTTGTATGTGATTATTATCATGTCTGTGAACCAACCTTTGAGCAAAACAAACCATAAGAGGTGATGCTCCTGGGCTAAGCAACATGTGGAGTTGTATTGTAACTGTTTAAAAATTACATTAAGGGCAGAAGTCCAGTAGTATCCATCTTCCCCCTCAGACTTTAATGTATTTTCCCCAAAAGCAAGAAAAGCGATATAGACATAGACCACAAGTTGTGAAAAGTCAGACCTCCACAACCTTCTTGTTAAAACATTCTTTAAAAAAAATACAACAAATGCAAAAACAAAACTCAAGTGCCTAAAGCCTTGAAAATCTTTGGACGAGCTTGCTGTTTTCCATTTTAAGTTCCATGCAATTCCTGTGCCTTCATGATATGAGCAAAGAGAGGAATATTCCCCAGAAAGGGAAGAATGGAAATTTCATAATTTAGGAAATTTAGATTCTCAAGCCAAACTCTTTCTCTTCCTTCAAAGAAACTTTCCCAGCAAGCACAACTTCCTTGTATTATCTCCAATCAGGTACACACTTTCATAATTCCATCCAACACCTTGTGCTGTGATTTTTTAATGTGTATTTGTTTGCCTCCTCTATCAATTTGAAAACATATTAAGAACAGGAGCTATATTTTATTATTCTATTCCCAGAAGCCAGCGCAATGCCTAGGAAACTGCCTGAAATTTTCTTGTTTTATGTTTTAAGGCATCGCATGGTTACTACGTTTCTCCTTTCTAGCCCATAAATTGTAGATGCAAAGACATGAACTGTTGGCCACTTACAAGAAGAGCTTTAATGTCTGGGTAATATCATCATCTGTAATAATTCTTTGTACATTTAAATCCTTCCACATAATTTCAATTTGCATGTCCTATACCAACAATTATTATGCTGATGATTCATTCATTGATCATTCTTGGTCTTAAATTTCTTGGCAGAAGAAGGGCCCTGGAAAATGGGTAGTACATGCTTTAGTAGCTAATGATGGTTATTTAATAGTAGCATGCAGTGTGAAAGCCATTATGCATGGAAGATCATTTCTTTTTTAATTGCAGTCCTGAGTCTCAGTTGGTTTGGTGAAACAGTAATTATCAGGATTTCAAACTGCTTTTTTCAAAATCATTACTAATGTGGTTTTTCCAGTTGGAACCTGTGGTAGTCCCCAAATGAGTGCCTTTCTAATACATGCCAGTGGCAAAGGACTGATTAGGATCAGATCTGAGGAAATACTTCCTGCAACATACCCTACATTAGTATTGCATCCGAGCTGTGTTTACAAATGCCTGTGTGGGCAGATGGGACCAAGCTGGGTACAAGGGGCAGGAGTCACTCTGCAATATGGCCCAAAGCAAAGGATGTAAAACTTAAGGACCATCTGCCACTAAGCAGTTAACATGATGGCAGTGTAATAAGAATGTTACTAGGGTACAAAGTGGCTACAAGGCTAGGGAGCAATCCCAGACTTCTCCCAGGGATGCCCAATCACTTCACAGCAGCCCTGGTGCCTGTGGCTCAGTTCATCACTAATCCCAGCAAACGTACCCTGGTCCACTGATTTTCCTGTTGCCTCTTCTGTGAAACAGCATGATGAGTCTTTTCTGTGCTTTCAGAAAGGATGAATATAGTATAAAAACTCACATGCTTTCCTTTGGATTCTCTACTACTAAATAGTCTGTATACAAGCAAGAATTTACCACATATAGCAAAGGATTCATTACTAATAATGGATACATAAAAAAATGGAACAAAGCT